TCGGAGAGTTGATTTTTCGGTACGAAATTCTGGGTCAGTGCAATGCCGCTTTCCAAATTGACCACTAGATGCCACCACCCGCTCGGCACATGTAAAATTTCCCCCTCTTGGCAAATACCTTCGACGCACTCGGGTAACCGACGTGCTTCTGCATGAAACTCGAGAAGCCATTCTGCGATGCTCAATGGGCTGGTGACCTCGCTGCTGTCCTGCGAGACAATCACTCCGGGGACCATAGCCGTGGGTGGAAACATGATCCAATATTTCGCACCTTGGATCACCGCGTTCCACGCACTCGTACCGTTGGGGTCCTTATGAAAGGTTGATCCGCTTCGTTCAGGTCCGATGATGAGCCAGCGATGGGCGGGTCGTTCCTTTCCCAAAAGCTCGAACAAATCCGGACCAAAGCATTCCGGCTTCCAATAAGCCGCACCCTCCTCTTGCCCAATCGTGATCTTCATCTTCTCGGCAAACTTTTTGTCGAAAAGATAGAGAGGGCTCTCGTCGTCGTTGTTGTTCATGTACTCGTTGTAGGTCGAAAAGGGCCAGTCAACGGCCTCTGCGCGAAACTCTACATCATTGTAGCGTTTTGATATGGCATCGATAGTCCATTCGTAGCAGACAGACCACTTCTGGATGTATTTGGTGAGAACGAAAGGAGTATCGGTCCAGTTCTCAGAGAAATCCTCGTAAGTCAGGGTTTCCATGCGCCGAATCATGTTGCGAGTTGGTATCCTTGAGGTGAATTGCCTCAAGTCAACATGACTACAGACAAACGGTCGGTGTAGAGCGTCAGAGAAGACATTGCTGCAGTCAATTTTGGCCTGTTGCTCAGAGGAGAGCTTCAACTGGGTAGCCCTCCAAGATCCCTGCCATCTGCCTTCAAATCTCCCTGAGCCGTGAGATCTAAAGTTCCGTCAGTAAAGTCAATAGCTTACACGCCGAGATACAGTAGAATGATCACGGTATCGTTATCTGATCACTATGGAATAAGAGTCACCAGGAATACCTGGTCGAGAACAGCTCTTGTTTCAACCGGGCGAAACCACCAGGGTGACTGTGTAATTCGCAGCTCTTGCCACTAAATACCAATAACACCCAGTCCCATGATTTTCCTCCACTCAACAAAGCAACTGACTTACTGAAGAAATAGCGTCTTCCACAAGTCATCCGAGCGGCAGAATGCGTAAAGGAATCTAGCAGTGTAGCCTAGATTTCGGAGACGATCCTCGTCGAAATACTCCAAGAGGAGCATAAGAGCCTCATCGGGCAAAATTTTCAGATATCCGATGTGTTTCCGAGCGTTCGGACGGCCCGAGAGATACTGGTTGCCCAGCGGTTTCACTCCCAAAGGATGAGTTGGAATTGACTCAGTCGACGTGACTGCATTTTCCAGGGCTTTTGAGTCATAGTTATCGAGGCTGGTGTTGTCAGCATGGCTCTTGTTGGTCCGGCCATTGGATACAGCGCCATGGTGTGGCACAGATGAGGTATCGTTCGCCATGTAAGGTACTAGGTAGGTAGGCGAGCAACTAGGATCCTTGGGTTATTGGGAGAACATTGACATGTGTGCCTGCTGCTTTTGGCTAAAGAGTAAAAAAATGGTAGTGGCGGGGGTGACGTTGGAGAAAGTAGGCAAGCAAAAGGGCTGAAGATTCGAACAGTCTGAAGTCAAAGGAGAAGGGTGTAAAAATGAGACGAGAAAAAAGCTGTACAAGAAATCATGTCACTGGGCATAGCTGCATCGCGGGTGCAGGTGGTACGAGCTAGGTGTTGGGTAGCGGCGGGCAGTGTGTGGCGGACACATGCTTCGATAAACATGTTCTGTGACTCAATTAATGCATGAAGATTGTCTAGATGAAAATCTGGCAGGCATTCCGCCACATCGCATCCTAGAGGGGGTCGGGCGAGAAGGTCAGAAAATTTAGCAGGCAAGTGCGGCTGCTGTGCCTTCTATCGTTCCTGCTATCTCCGGCCTTCCCAGCGCTGAGTTCCGCCGACAGCAGTCTCCGGTCCCATAGCTGCACTGCTAGTGGTAGCTCATTCACTGAGGACGGCACGGCAGGTGTGCCCTAATCACCCATCCTGCCTGTCTCCGTTTAGCGCCACCTCGCTTACCGCATAAAACGAGGGGCCGCCCGCCGCCAGGAAATTTTTTACGTGGTCAAGAATTCCTGCAGCTGCTGATAAAAACTTCACCTCCCACCCCGAACAATCAACGTGCACCATCACCCCACGAACAACCAAACCAAACGCACCTTTTTTCCTAGATTCAGTTCTACTCTTGCGTTTCGCCAAGAGTATCGGATCTAGTCGAGACTTTAATTCTTAGACTTCGATTCGTCGACACATTTCGCAAAACTCTCCAACGAGACGTTTGCGATTTTCCAGCCCCTCGCCAAACCCCACCTTCGCGACGATATTTCTAGATTCCAAGCTGTGCTTGTGATCTAGATTTTTTCCCACAACACAACCGCAATCATGGCTGACAAGGGTCTTGAGGATGTGCCTGAGGGTAAGTCTTGCGCCTACATAGGAGGGATTGTGGACTCGGCAGAGCAAGGCTTCGGCTATTGACGTTGAGGTCGTCATCTACGAGTGACCGACCGACCACCGCCCCCTCCCTCTCCTCGGCGCCTAGCTCATTTTCGAAAGACGACAAGTCGCTAACAAATATCTCTTCACAGGCCAGATCGAGTCGAACTACGATGAGACCGTCGACTCCTTCGATGACATGAACCTCAAGTCGGAGCTCCTTCGTGGTATGTTTTCTCGCGCTCAAAATTTTCGAGCAGAAATACCCTCACTGTGGACCATGTTGCTGACTTTGCCTCGCTAGGTGTCTACGCCTACGGTTTCGAGCGTCCCTCCGCCATCCAGCAGCGTGCCATCATGCCCGTTATCAAGGGTATGTTCAATAACCATTCTCATTTTTGCGAATACCGTTGCTCATGCCTTGCCCAGGCCACGATGTCATTGCTCAGGCTCAGTCCGGTACTGGCAAGACCGCCACCTTCTCCATCTCTGTCCTCCAGAAGATCGACACCAACGTCAAGGCTTGCCAGGCCCTTATCCTTGCTCCCACCCGTGAGCTTGCCCAGCAGATTCAGAAGGTTGTTGTCGCCATCGGCGACTTCATGAACATTGAGTGCCACGCCTGCATCGGTGGTACTAGCGTCCGTGACGACATGAAGGCCCTTCAGGACGGTCCCCAGGTCGTTGTCGGTACCCCTGGCCGTGTCCACGACATGATCCAGCGCCGCTTCCTCAAGACCGACTCCATGAAGATGTTCGTCCTTGACGAGGCCGACGAGATGCTTTCTGTAAGTTTTGAAAGACTACAATTAAGCTCAACTGCATGCTAACATATCTTTTCAGCGCGGTTTCACCGAGCAGATCTACGACATCTTCCAGCTCCTTCCCCAGAGCACCCAGGTCGTCCTTCTGTCCGCCACCATGCCCCAGGACGTCCTCGAGGTCACCACCAAGTTCATGCGCGACCCCGTCCGCATTCTCGTCAAGAAGGACGAGCTTACCCTTGAGGGTATCAAGCAGTTCTACATTGCCGTTGAGAAGGAGGAGTGGAAGCTCGACACCCTCTCCGACTTGTACGAGACTGTCACCATCACCCAGGCCGTCATCTTCTGCAACACCCGCAGAAAGGTTGACTGGCTCACCGACAAGCTCACTGCCCGTGACTTCACCGTCTCCGCCATGCACGGTGACATGGACCAGGCTCAGCGTGATCTGATTATGAAGGAGTTCCGTTCCGGATCTTCCCGTGTCCTGATCGCCACTGACCTTCTGGCCCGTGGTATCGATGTCCAGCAGGTCTCCCTGGTCATCAACTACGACCTTCCCGCCAACCGCGAGAACTACATCCACCGCATCGGTCGTGGTGGTCGTTTCGGACGTAAGGGTGTTGCCATCAACTTCGTTACCGCCGAGGACGTCCGCATGATGAGAGAGATTGAGCAGTTCTACAGCACCCAGATCGAGGAGATGCCCATGAACGTTGCCGACCTCATCTAAGTAACGAATTCACGGATACACGCATACTTTCTCTTTGGAACGGAACAGGCCCTGTTGTCTGCCGAGATCGATCACGCACCGGATCTGGCACTGACGCTTGAGGGTGGATTTTACTCGAGATTCATCAGGACTTGTTTGTTGATAGATCGCGGAAGGCTACCTGGCGAGTCACAGGGCGTGGCCAGCATACCATCTTCTTGGCTGACTGCTGGACGCGCCCCGACTCATGGGTGGAATTGAAAACTGGCTTGCATGCGGAATGGCTTACGAGTCTTTTGGCACCTTAATACCACGAAGGTGCGGCGGACTGGTACCTAAAAGAATCATTGGCAAGGGTTCTAGTTTTTGATTTTCGGTTTCCTAGTCTCTCTGTACGTAGGGGCCACGTTACGATGAATCTTCTCTTAAAAGTACTCTGTTTCCCTCTTGTTGAAAGTGATTGTATGAATGTGTCTTGCTATATGTTGTATCAGGAAGTCACGGCGAGACTCTCCAAACTCCTCTCTCGACACTACGACCGTACGGCAACTTACCGCCAGGGTTTCAACGAAGGAAGCGGGGCGAACATGCACGAGGCTGGATACTCGGGCATGGCAGGGCGAATTGCTGCCACGACATGGAGCATCGCTCTCGGATGTTCCACCATACAGGCTTGCAAGTGGCCGGAGTCCATTCAGACACACTAACACGCAGTGCGTGTCCTGTTATCAAGGCACTCGAAGAGACACCAGCCCATCGGACGAGGTTGGGCTGCGCCACGTGGGCGGGCCGTGGATTCAACGTCTCTGGTCGCATTCCAGGATGAAAAGACGCTCACAATGTTTGTGGCTCGACACATCCATACAATCCACGGTTCAACTTCTTGTGCCTAGGGTGGGGCGACCTGTCTTGAGCCCAAGCGTCCACTGATTTTTATTTTTTTGCCCCTTCCCTTCCTTTCATTCAATCGAGTTTTGCGTGACAAGTATCCCAAGTAGAAATCCCGTCAAGAAAAAACACATTCAATTGCACAACGAGAATTTTTAGTCATAGAAAAAAGCTCAAAAAAATTGGTAGCTTCTCTTTGATTGAGCGTGTCATCCTTAGTGCAGGGGCCATGCTACTGTGAAGGAAGTCAGTGACTGCTTCGTGATTCGAACTGGGGACTTCGGGAATAATCTTACATCTTCTCTGTATCGTTTCAAATTGACCAAATGCCCGAAGGCGAAAGTCTAAGCTAATTTGGCACCCTATAGAGGGTTCGCACATGCACACCTTCTGGTCCGTGCTGATCGCCTGAGGCAGAAGCCATCTCCCAGGCCTCACATCCTCAGGCCTGAGGGGAGCAAAAACACCCCTCCTCAACGCGAACCTGAATGTCAGTGCCGTCAAAACTTTGGTGGGGGGTTTGCGGGAGACCGGTCTTTTACCCCGCCAAATACACCAAGACCCCGTCACCACCAAAGCCATTCTCAAGACTTACTGTCGCTCACCACGAACTCAAAGAATCAAGGTCTTCTCCTGTAGCGCTTCAAAAACTTGGTGTTGTACTCAACATGAAGAGTGTGATTCTTTTTTTTTTTTCCGTTGAACACACCGGGAAGATGGGTGCGCTGCATCGGCGCGCAGACAACATTTTTTGTGGCCCGGCCGATGAGGGTTTCGAGTTGTGTGCGGGATAGACCTTGGTGGAGGGGAAGAAAAGTTTCATGCCTGGGGGATTTTTTTAATTTTTTTTCTTTTCTTTGCTTCCCGGTCCGCTCCTGCTTACTTACAGCAGAACCCCCTCCCCTCCTTGCCCTGGCCCTTCCGGCCTTTCCCTCCTCCCTTTCTCTCCCTCCGTCCTGTCAAAGACCGTCTGAGGTGTGTTGGGGGGGGACCACCCCTGGGAAAACCCCCCCCCTTTCTGTTTCGTTTCGTTTTGGGCAGTTCGTTAGGGTTGCAAGGAAGCGGGATTGAAACCTGCATTGAAGCTATTGAGTGTATGCAACTAACCGAAGATTTGATCCCTTGTCAAGGGGGGGGGGTGAGATGGGGAAAGTGGTCCCCATCCACTTATACGGGGCCGCATTGGCGGCGCATCTCGGGGTAGTACTCCGTACAGCATCGAATCCGTATATATAGACGTTGCTTTCTATCAGGCCTCGATTGAGACATGACATGCCAGAAGCGTGAGTTCAGAGAGGCAAATTCCTGAAGGGCTAGCCTCCTTGCGAAGGCTGTAAAGGTAGGCGTCGCCAACGAAATGGCGGTAGACATTTTGTAGGGTATAGTTCTTTCAAACTCGTGGATGGTGAACAAAGCACCTTGCCCATTGAGAAAGAATAGACTCTTGTTGCCGGAAACCTGGTAGGTCGGTCACACATCAAACCAGCTTCATGCATCAAAGTAGACTTATCAAAAGCAATGCTGTTCGAACATGCAATGAGAGCATGTAATTACTGTCAGCTGCTATTTAGAGATGATGCTCATTTGTTCATTTATATGTATCAAAATCCGAAGCCGTGTGATGCTAGACCGGTCATGAAGATACCTGCTTTATTCCTTCATTCGTCTGCATTCAATAAAGCCTTTGACTCCTTGCAAGGTGTTGTCAAGTCCACAAGCCACAACATAGCTTGGTCTGGTGGCTCAAAGTAGTAGCCGGGTGTTGCGTGCCATGATGTTGCTAAAGATTCGAATATGTATTGTCAACGTCTTGATGATGATATCGTAAGAACCGGAACATGTGGGAGAGATTATGGTCCATACATATAAGGCAAAGGCTAAAAGGAGTTTTGCCGGCTTCTTTTCTTGTTCTGAACCTCTCCACTCCCAAGTTACTCACCCGCGATGTTTGACCCAGGGGTGCTCATCATCGGATAAGTCCATGTAAGAAAAAATGACGCTGCAAAGTACAGGATGATGAAACCCATCTTTCGTTAATCGAGGGGCAAGGACTATTGCCGCGTAGCTTGATATGAGGAAATATTGTACTTCAGACCTTTTGTTGGGCATGATACGCGTCCCAAGCATTACGACGGGCCAGGCGCACACCATGAATGACAAATCTGATCGGGATTTAGATAGGTAAGGCCATAGATTATTGACCACAACTCAATGTAATATCCCGCTAAAGACGTATGATGGGATCGAGTGCTAATCAACCGCCCGTCTGCATCGACCTAACTTGACTCAAGCAGCCCATTTCTCATCACCCCGGCCAAGCGAACTTTCCCTTCCTTACCCGATCTTAACGCCAAATCACCCACTGCCAGTTTGCGCCACTCGCTTAGACCTCATTACACTGTACCAAGGGAGGTCGTGTAAATATTTCGTCACCACCGCATGGAACTATTTCCACACCCTTGACACTGATGAGCGCATGAGCCAGCAGGTTCTGACTCACCCGTCCGACATGAGGACACACCGTTCAATGGCCTAGATTCCACCGGCCCGGGCCCTTTCCAGAACATTCGGTGGCGGGAGGTACTCAGGGCCAAAAGATAGCGGGAGAAGCTATTCACGATTATCAGCTCAAGGGGTCTCTCAATGACTTGGTCTCGTAAACCTACAGCTTCCAGTCTCATGACGACGTATTTTCCGTCCTTGTTGAACATGAGGATAGGCGTCTCCAGGTCCACGAACTCACGGATGCTAGTGAAAACTATCAGTCAAAGGCTGCCCCGGCGGTTCATGATACCCCTCTGAAGTTTGTGTGAAGAGGGCTGGGGCGTTCCAAAGGGGTTGACTCACAACTGTCGGCACATGCCACATGGGCTACACGGAGCTTCGATATCGGTGGCTACGGCGACAGCCTTGAACCCCCGAATACCCTCCGTGATGGCCTTGCCAAACGCTACTCGTTCGGCACACGTGCCAACGGGATAAGAGGCATTTTCAACGTTGGCTCCAGATGTGTATTTGCCGTCCTTAGATAAGAGTGTCGCTCCCACACGGAATTGGCTGTAAGGGCAGTATGCGGTCGCCTTTGCTGCCGTTGCCTTTTGGTGAAGCTCAGTCACCTCGGCTGGGGTAAGTCCGTACTTCTTAGCCGTCTCGGCCGTCTGAGACTCATTGGCAATATCGAAAACCTCTGGTGTGAAGCCCATGTTGTAATAAGTGAGAGGAAAGACGTGGGTGAGTATGTTAGAGGATGGGTTTGTGAGATGAGGAATCGGATACGGTGTGTGAGACGAATCTATGTTCCTATGTGTGTAGTTGGATGATAGGTCCACGGGCTGCTGGTGTTAGTTTATTCTTGGGGGTCTCTCTGGTGGGAACGCCCTCTGTGGGAGCCACTGGCATGCTCCATTTATGGGGGGTCCGGGTGCCAATAGCGACCCCCGGCCGTCTCCGAATTCCGTTTGCGTTTCCTCAAAGTAATCTTTTTGCTATCAGTTTTGGAACCAAAAACCCGCAATTGCCGTGATTCCTCCGGTCCTCTTCAACCATCATCGCAGATGTCCGTTTCCGCCTCCAAACTTCCTGCCTAGTTGAGCTGCTTACACTCATGACATTCGATCCCCGGATTGGACGGACATTCCCCGTATGACCAGCATGTGCGCGGCGCGCCTTGACGTTCTGCAACCATTAACCCCGCAGTCTCGTTCTTAGCTGACTACCTACGTTCAACGCCGACTTACGCCTTGCCGAGGGGTATCGTAAGCGGGTTCATGGCACTAGGTAGTCGATATCCGTTAGCTAATGCCTTGATTTATGGGGTCACGAGATGTGCCTTGATGGGATACACTTACGAAGAGCCGCCGTCAACCACAAGGTTTGCTCCCGTGATGTAGGAGCTGAAGCCCGAAGCGAGGAACCCGGCTACTCGAGCTACTTCTTGAGGACTACCTGGTCGCTCGAGGCCCACGCTTGCCTCGGAGGCCTTGGATGATGAGTATCAGTTGCTAGATTTATCGGGCTTATACTCCGTTTCATCACCTCCCGTTTTCGACTTACTTCCTTTCCTTGCAAAACCGCAGGCGGGAACTGGGAGTTCATCCCCTTCATATCGACCTGTGAGGTTGCACTGATCAGTCCTATCTGCTCGGCCTAGTGAAGCGAGGAACTCTTACCCCGTTCAAATCTAGACCAACATCAATCTGGCCCGGGGAAATGCAGTTGATCCTCACTCCCGAGCCCTTGAGCACCGCAACGCCGGCCTTCACGACACCGAGCGCGGCGTGGGCCGCCATCGTATAGCACGGCCCCCAGCAACCGCCGTACGTCGATGCCACGCTGCTGATGACGATGATGCTGCCGTACTTCTGGCTCTTGGGCGCCGCGTTCGGGTAAGATTGCTTTCCTGTCAGTTTGGCCATGGCGGGAGGCGCGTACTTGAGCGCAAAGAAGGGAGCCATGGAATGTGCCTCGAAGCACCGCTGAAGGTCGGCCGGTGTCGTTTCGTTGATGGACGGCGGTCCCAGCAGACCTGCTGATGACACCCAGATGTCAAGGCGTCCAAAGGCATTGAGGAGCTCGTCAATAAGGACCAGAGTCTCTTCTTCTTTGGCAACATTGAACGGGTAGGGAATGATCTTGGTGTTCGGGTGTTCTTGGTGCACCTTATTGACGAGAGGCTTGAACGTCTCATCACTGGCTGTCTTGTCGCATGCTAGACCGTGCCATTCAGTTTATGTCGTCGTCACTCAAGATTCCGGTTCCAATCTTACCATATATAGAAGCGGCTCCGTGAGCTGTCTATGTGTCAGCGACGCCTCCTCGAGGTAGCGAACAAACTCCTACCTGCCAGCTCCTCGATGATAGCCCGTCCAACAGGCTGAGCAGCGCCCGTGACAACGCAGACGAAGCCATACTGGCCATAATACTTAGCACACAATGCATAAATTTATAATGATTACACTGACGCACAAGCTTGCCATCGGCACGGTAGGGACTAAAGTCCACGGTCGTATCCATCTTCAAGGAAAATCAGGTGAAGTATCAATAATGCTGAATCGTAATTACGGTCAAGGAACAGAACCTTGGACGGTCTCTCAGGTAAAATAAGGGATGGCAAGGACATTTGCCAGAGTTCAGTACAACGCTTCAGGGGCAGAAGAAAAACCTCAAGTTTTGCCATGCTCGAGCCTAGACTTTGAGCGGCTCAAGCTTGCATGCCCAAACGGACCAATGCCGTCACCTACACGCGGGCTAAAATGATGCTTCTCCGAGGAGAGCACCAGATCTGGCAGCTACTAGATTGTGGAGGCGAAACTGTCTACAATCAGTGCAAGACTTGTGCTGTTTTCTGATAAGGAATTAACTGTAATGTATCGATCAATCCAGACACCGTGGATCCACGTATCGTTTCACTCGCCGGGTTGAGAAATCAGGCTTTGCCTGCGTTGTTCTTGAGCAAGCCGACATGGCACAGCTCTGTCTGCCAAATCAGCTAACGGTCTTTTTCGTTGCTTTGGGGTCGACATTAACCCCCAGCTTTCGGTCTACGTGGGGTGTCCATTGGGATTCGCGCCTAGTACTCATATCGGTGTTCAAATCATCTTTGTCTGATTGGATGGTTCCGGTCTAGGGTCCGGACGACGGAGATGCTCATATCTCCCCCCGCCAGCTTCTGCCGTCGCAACAGCACCTTACAGATTGGCCTATCATATGCATTTTAAGAGTTGTTGGTCATTGTGAGAGTCGACCATAGTCGTATGTTATCTCGTAGTGCTGTATTGCTGACGATTCAGATGCAATTGATGGCCATGCTTATTGGCTACCTTTGCAACCTACATCTCTGGCTGGTCCGGACTCATCGAAGCAGTCAAGCTTTGAAAAGGTGACCAATGTGTCGAGGAATCTCGCAAGCTTTCTTTGACTCAATTCAACGCAACGCAGGGGGAGGAACTTGGTGTAACCCATGAGATTAGCTAGCTGTGTTGGCAGCGATGGTTCTGGAATGGCTTGGCTGAGCATCGAAAACCATGAGGGTTGAGGTCAGTTTGTGCTGACGTCAGTGAGGCCAGTCGTATTCCAGCTACGAGAAGCGAGAGATGTTTTAGGTGAATGCAGTTCTGTGTTTTTTCTTTCTTTGGGATACTGAGCTCATCCAGCGCCGTGTTTCCAAAGGAACGACCAGCATGTCGTCTCTAGGACGACGCTGTCCGAGCACGTCAAGATACGCATTGACTACCCAAGGTTGGAAATCACGGACATCTGCAGGAGGGAGAAGGATGAGGGTGAACACATCTGCAACCGGGCCAACATTGTGGAAGAAGGAACCTCAACAAACGCTCAGATGGGACGATACTGGACAATAAAGTGCGACTTCGCATGACTGAGAACACGGGAGTAGGCTGATACTTTTGGCCGATGTCGTGGGGGTTTCCAGCAGCAATAAGAGACTTGCATTGCAATCTCAAGTTGTGTCGCCAACGAGCTGTTGAAACAGAATACTCATAACCGCGAAAACTTGTTGGATGGGCATTTGATAGGGTGGGTACCGGCCTCGGAACACATTGTGACAGTACAGTACCACGATGAGGTTGTCTCGCACTCAGCTGGCGAGTGCATCTCAACTAGCAGGCAATCGCCGACGGTGAGTTAAGTCCGTTGAAGACCAAACTGGAGTCCTGGCCGACCGCGCTGAATGACGATGACGGATGAGAAATCCACCTCTGGGTGCCTGGGCCCCGCTTAGCTAAGATTCCCGTCGGGTGGTGGGGACCGGATTGTCGGAAATTGTTAATGGGCTACTTGTGCCGCATGGGATAAGAATAGGCTTCGAGGCGGGTTGGGGGAGGGAAATCAGGCTGAGAGAAGGCGCAAACTGCTATCAGAGACCCCTGGAAGGCGGACAAAGAGTTATTTCTGGGGCGATCAGGGTCCTACTGGTCCTCCAGGTAGGCGACGAGGGGACCCCTCGGAGCAGGTGTGGACAGAGAGGACATCACACAGTGGTACGGAGTAGAGGCTGCAAGTATTGCATCATCAGCACCGCCACAGTGGCTGGAAAGAATTCCATCTTCTTCCATCGATTTCAATTTGGGGCCATTTGGGCGCGGGACATGCGCAAGGCGACCCGCCTTTGCAGCCTGCTTCTCCCTTTATTGTGAAAAATCCAGTGTCCCAGTGTCCCGTCACTAGCGCACTTCGGTCCATTCAGCCAAGGTACATTTCCACCGTACTCCTCCCCGCCAGGAACCTCACCCATCAATAACTTCCTCGCCAGCCCGGCTACAGATCTCCTCTCAATTTTTTTCTACTTTCCCCCGCAACTACCTCCCTCTTTCTAGTTTACATCAGATACCCAGTTGCGCAATCGTCATTGTCGGCTTCTTTCAAAAAGTGAGTACCCTTCGGTGTTTCCTGCAGCGCAAAGCGAATCCAAGTTGTGTTTTTACTCGCCCAAGCAAATCCGCCTACCCTATTCTTCTATGTGCTGGAACGGCTCTGCCTCGATGCCGCAAAAAAAAAAGCGACATTTCTCTGTTTCGCCTCTCTTATTCGCGCACAAAGGCGGGGATGCGCAAGACGACATTGCGAAATTAGTGAACCGTTTTCGATTCATTCAGCTGACGTCTGGTTACTCGAGGCCCCTCCATAGATTCCTATCCAGAACTCCAGTTTATCGCCAAGTCTTAGATAAGGATTACTCTACCAACCAGCACGATGGTCAAAGAAACGAAGCTCTACGAAACCCTCGGCGTACGTTTGACATACATGCGCCTCATGTAGCTGGGACAGATTATTAACATCGGAACAGGTTGCGCCGACGGCGACCGAACAGGAGCTGAAGAAGGCGTACAAGACAAATGCCCTAAAGTACCATCCTGGTAGGCTCCAACGAATCCGCCGCATCGCCACGGACTTGCTGACAAGACCTTCACAGACAAGAACGCCCACAACCCCGATGCTGAGGAGAAGTTCAAGGAGATTTCCCATGCCTACGAAATTCTTTCCGATTCCCAGAAGCGCACTGTCTACGACCAATATGGCGAGGCTGGTCTCGAAGGTGGTGCCGGCGGCGGTGGTGGCATGGCTGCCGAGGATCTGTTCGCTCAGTTCTTCGGTTCCGGTGGTGGCTTCGGCGGCGGCCTTGGAGGCATGTTCGGTGGCGGCGGCATGCCCAACCGCGGACCCCCCAAGGCTCGCACGATTCACCACACCCACAAGGTCTCCCTCGAGGATGTCTACCGCGGAAAGATCTCCAAGCTGGCTCTCCAGCGGTCCGTCATCTGCTCCAAGTGCGAGGGCCGTGGTGGAAAGGAGGGCGCGGTCAAGCGCTGCGCTGGCTGTGATGGCCACGGTATGAAGACCATGATGAGACAAATGGGTCCAATGATCCAGCGTTTCCAGACTGTCTGCCCTGACTGTAACGGAGAGGGTGAGACGATCAAGGACAAGGATCGCTGCAAGCAGTGCAACGGAAAGAAGACCATCGTCGATCGCAAGGTTCTCCACGTTCACGTCGACCGTGGTGTTAGAAGCGGCACCAAGGTTGAGTTCCGTGGCGAAGGTGACCAGGCACCTGGTATCCAGGCGGGTGACGTTGTTTTCGAGATCGAGCAGAAGCCCCACAACCGCTTCACTCGCAAGGAGGACGACCTTCTGTACCAGTGCGAGATCGAGCTGGTGACTGCGCTGGCTGGTGGAACTATCTACATCGAGCACCTCGACGACAGGTGGCTCAGCATCGAGATCCTTCCTGGTGAAGCCATTGCACCTGGTACGTTGAATCCTGTGCTGCATTTATGTCTATAATTACTAACACATTCCAGACGCTGTCAAGATGGTTCGCGGCCAGGGTATGCCTTCTCCTAGGCACCACGACTTCGGCAACCTTTACATCCAGTTCAACGTAAAGTTCCCCGAGAAGGGCTGGACTGAGGACCCCACGGCCTTCGAGGCTCTCCAGAAGCTGCTTCCCGCCCCTTCGCTGCAGACTGTTCCTCCCCCTGAGGCCATGACCGAGCCCGCCGACCTCGAGGATCTCGACAACTCTTCCCAGGCTAGAGTCTTTGGGGGTGCTGGCGGTATGGACGAGGACGACGAGGACGGCCACGGCGGTGCCGAGCGCGTGCAGTGCGCTTCTCAGTAAATGACGTCATGTTTTGATGACATTGATATTATGAGCATCTTCGGCGCGGTGGGGGGAAGAGGACGCGGGCGAGGTTTCTTTTCACGAACCTGTTTGACAGAACGAAATTTGCATATTTTCTCCAGTCACGAATGGATGGACACGGTTGCATGGAAACGGTTAAGGGGCTCGCCGTTGGGAGACCGTTCTCAGATGGCGGGAATCAACCAGCCACGACGTCTCGTCTAGACGCCCGTGTCGGGTTCCTCGAGAATGGAGGCTGGATTCAAGTGGACCAGCAAACAGTAACAGGGGAGACTGGTCCAACGCGTGCTTATTCTCAAAACATCACTTGGCTTCTTTTGCTCGACGGACATTCGAGACTTGGGAGGAAGGCGTTCACGGTCATAGAGAGGATAATTCGCTCAATCGAATTGATGATAAACGTGCCTGAATTGCTTTTGCCCACCTGATACATGCAGTGCTCACATAGTAAATTATGCCACAACCTTTCACATTAACTATTTCGCCACAGGCTCGCCTTCTGCCTGCGCTTGTTCCTCGCCCTCTGCCTCCTCTCCTTGCTCATCATCACCACGCTTGCGCAAGTCCTCGGTATTGTACAGCAGCTTTCTCACCTGCTCGTGAGACATGTCGAACTCAGCCTCACTCACGCTTGCGTCTTGTATCTCAAGGTCTTGGGACGAGAAGGCGGCGCCGGTCCATCTGAAAGAGACGATACCATTGTGTGCATCTTCGTTCTCTGCCGGGTCAATGGTCACCAGTATGCTGGTCATTGAGTTTTCGGTAGCAATCGGTGCTACGTGAAGCGGGTTTCCAGGGAGCGAGATGGTCTGTACATGTGAAAGGGTGTTGTCTTCCGCCAAACGAAGGACGAGAATGGCAGAAACGCTAGGTGCTGGTTTAGCTATAATAAACTTGGTGTTAGATACAAGAGTGACGAACCTTTCGCAAACTACAAGGACGACAGGCACCTGCAAGCCGTTCTCCGTGACATTGGCCGAGAGCAGCTGGGACACAGCGACCTTGGTAGTCTCCTTGTCGATTTGCTGAGCTTGTCCCAGGACGTCGAACTTTGACAAGACCTTGCCGTTCTCCCAGTTCCAGGCGAACAGCTCGCTGTCACCGCCACCGGAGACCAAGACGTCCTGACTTGGCAGCGTAAGCGCACTGATGAAGTTGGCGTGACCGAGACAGAATCCCTCAATGACGTGGGCGTGCGGCATGAAGCGCGAAACGCGGATGTGCTCGTCGCGGTCGGCCGTGATGATGTACCGACGGGGCCCCTTTGACGCGAGCGTCAGGGCAGTGAGCATGGAGACGTGGCCGATCTGGAGCGTGTGCTCAAACGTCGGCTGCTCCTTGGCGACGTCGCGCTTCGACTTTTGCTGCTCACGCAGCTGGCTCTGGAGAGCGCGAAGATTGCTCTTGGAGTGTACGGTGAAGGAGTTCGCTTCTGGCGTGAAGGGCTTGGCAGCTGCGGGAGCCGTCTCGGGGGCGGCCTCGGGCTGGGCCGCTGCCTCGGAGGATTGCGGGGCTTCCGAGGGGATCAGCGGCAGAGAGTAGACATCGCCGAATTTGTCTGCACTCAAGACGGTTTCGTTGTCTGGGCAGATGAGAACCGAGCAGGGACGTTTAGGCATTTGTCTTTTGAGATGTGTGTTAAGGCTAATGTACATGATGGTGTAAGTCGGACAACGTACCTCTGGTTCAACTCCTTCAGATTTCCCTTGCCGTCGTGCTCAAAGACCCAAAGAGACTTGTCATGACCCGAGATGGCCAACAAGTGACTTCCGTTACTAGTTGTCGTCATGATGGTAATGACGGGATAGTCTGGGACTCTCGCAAACGCCGTGCCGCGGTTGTTTTGCTGACCATCCCGGTTGTTTCGCCTCATGTTCTTGGTGCCCTTTCTCCTATCCCTCTTCTGGTGTTCGGCCTTCTGAGGTTCACTATCGACAACCATGGCATCGACATCCTTGGCTTCTTCCTGTACCCCCGCCTTGTCTTCTTCGCCGCTCTCTACTCTCTGACGCTTGGCGGGTGGTTCATCATCGTCGTTGGCCGGGGTCGAAGGTGTGGGAACACCGGAACTCACTTCGATCTCAACTTTGGCGGTAGCAGCCGACGCAGCAGCAGCAGCAGCAGCCTTTTCGACGTCGGGATGCTTCCATGTAGAGATGTGAGCGCCATCTTCTAGGCTGAACGAATGAATCTTTCCACCCCTGGCAGCAAAGACCACATTGGCCGCAGGCTCTAGACAGTTGTAGGGAATCTTCATCGTGAAAATGCGATTTAATCCGTGCTGTTCGTGCTCAATTGGCATGAGTTGAAGTTGCGCCTTCAAGGGACGTAGAACTTTCACTTCAGACTCATCTACATTTGAGTAAATGCCCCACCACCGGATGTCTGAGGAAAAAGAAAGCGGTACAAGTCGTCTCCAAAGCTTGGGCCATCGACCTCCCTGCAAGCTTCCCTGCGCTTGCCTCTTCTGGGACTAGATCCACTCGGTTGCCCTGATGGGGGCAGCGGCGCCCGGCAGCACACACCGAAATTTCGTTTGGTGAAGCAAAAAGCGCAAATTCTGGAGACAGCCTCTTTTTTGCCTTTTACAACATCAACTTTTGATACCCAATTCCCATCCACCAACCACTACCCAAAAATTCATTTGCCCTTAAACAACCTGCCTTCGTAAATAAGAAGATATGGGGGGCAAATCTGCGAACAAGGCCGGCTACTTCGACAAGCTCAAGGGCTTGCTCGAGGAGTACAAGTCCATCTTCATCGTCACCGTCGACAATGTCAGCTCTCAGCAGATGCACGAGATCAGACAGTCCCTCCGTGGTGAGGGTGTCGTCCTGATGGGAAAGAACACCATGGTATGTTTGTCTTTGCGCATAGCTCAATCTAGCGCCTGGAAGAATTACTCTCGCCGGCGCGTCGCTGGTCTCTGAAGGAAGAACGCGTTTGCTAACCCAAGTTGGAATACAGGTTCGCCGTGCCCTCAAGACCTTCATCCCCGACTCCCCCGAGTACGAGCGTCTCCTTCCCTTCGTCAAGGGTAACGTCGGTTTCGTCTTCACCAACTCCGAGCTCAAGGACATCCGTGACAAGATTCTCGCCAACAAGGTCGCCGCCCCTGCCCGTGCCGGTGCTCTCGCCCCCGCCGATGTCTGGGTTCCCGCTGGCAACACCGGCATGGAGCCCGGTAAGACCTCTTTCTTCCAGGCTCTCGGTGTCCCCACCAAGATTGCCCGTGGTACCATTGAAATTGTGTCCGACCTGAAGCTCGTCGAGGCCAACACCAAGGTCGGCCCCTCCGAGGCCACCCTCCTCAACATGCTGAACATCTCTCCCTTCACCTACGGCATGGGTATCTCCCAGGTCTACGACCAGGGCAACTGCTTCCCCGCTGACGTCCTCGACATCTCCGAGGACCAGCTTCTCAAGTCCTTCACCAGCGCCGTCACCACCATTGCCGCTGTGTCCCTGGCTATCAACTTCCCCACCCTTCCCTCCGTCATCCACTCTTTCTTCAACGGATACAAGAAGGTTCTCGCTGTCGCTATCGAGACCGACTACTCCTGGGCCGAGATCGACGAGCTCAAGGACCGCATCGCCAACCCCGACGCTTACGCCGCTGCCGCTCCCGCTGCCGGTGCTGCCTCCGGCGGTGCTGCCGAGACCAAGGCTGAGGAGAAGGAGGAGGAGAAGGAGGAGGAGTCCGATGAGGATGGCGGCTTCGGCGGTCTCTTGTATGTTCACCTAACCCCCTTGCCCTTTTTGACATTGCTAACCTCGCTTCCAGCGACTAAATATGACTGGAAATCGGTGATGATACGGCTGCCATCTGAGCTACGAATGGGTTTACGAAGACACGTGGATCTTGATCGCTGTATAGATGGGTTGCCGGTCAATCAAGCACATCGCATTTGACGGCAAAACAATTCGCTCTTGACTCTTGGTGATGTGATTATGCTCGTGAGCATTCACATATTCAATGCATTATAGGTTAGCACGCATCTATCTTCCTTCTACACCTACCCCAATGCTTCCTATGATTATTTAAATGTTCAAGAGCTTTTTAACCCTGATCTACTTGATGTCACACAATTTCCGTATGAGAGAGCAACTTCAACCGTCTTTTTTACTTTTCAGCCTTGGTTTCACATGGGTATCATGGCTAACATACAAAAGTATACAGGTTTTACAATACATCGCCCATATCGTACAGTGACCCTTTTCGCCTTTTCCCTGCCACCAAGCGTGATGACAATAATGCCTGACTTAGTCTAAGCCTTTTCAATGCCAAGAACCTCTTTTGCAATGCTCACTGCAGCTTCGGGCAGGTTAGCCAACTTTGCAACCTTGAGTGCGTGACTCTGCCTGTTGATGCCCTTGACCAACTTGTGAACGTAGACGAATCCGCCATCCTCATCTTCGTCCACATCCGTACAATACATCTCCACCCGACCCTGCCCACGCCCACCCTCAACACCTAACCCACCCCGCACCGCCAAGTCAGCAACGCGGTGGAAATGCGTGGCAAACAGCGTCCGGCACTGATTAACAGTGACTAAATGATGAAGGCAGGCGTACGCGACCGCCGTGCCGTCTTCGGGCGTCGTGCCGCGGCCAATCTCGTCCATGATGACAAAGGACCGTGCCGTCGCGTTCCGCAAAATGTGCGCCGTCTCCATCATCTCCACCATGAAGGTGCTCTGGTCCCGGTAGAGGTTGTCCGCGGACCCGACGCGGCTGAAGAGGGCGTCGACGACGCCCAACTCGGCGTAGTCGGCCGGCACGTAGCAGCCTACCTGCGCGAGGATCGTGATGAGGGCGTTCTGGCGGAGAAAGGTGCTTTTGCCTGCCATGTTGGGACCTGTGATGAGCCAGAGCTTCGCGCCCGGAGAGCCGGAGCCGGAGCCGGAGCCGCCGCCGACGAGGCAGTCGTTGCGGACAAAGGTGCGCCCTTGTTCGTGTAGTCCGCCCTCGACGGTTGGGTGCCGGCCGCCGATGATGGTGTGGCCGGTGGAATTGTTGATAATGGGCCGGGTGAGGCCCCGCTCGACGGCGAGCTTCGCAAAGGAGGTGGCGATGTCCAGCTCGTCGAGGACGGCGGCGTTGCGGCGCAGCTTGACGAGGTTCAGCACGACGGCGGCGCGGAGGGCGTGGAAGACGCGCTGCTCTTCGGTGCGGATGCTGTGTCGGGCGTGCTCGAGCTTATGGCCGAGCCGTGTCCACTCCGGCTCGTGGAAGGAGCTTGTCGATTTGCTGGAGCTCAGGGCTCTAATAGTGGATGAGGAGGAAGAGATGACGGCGCGGGCGTCCTTGCCCCTGATATGGCAGAAGTGTCCGAGGGCCGGGGACCAACGGAGGGTCAGGGAGGCGGCGCCGTGACGGTCGCGGAGCGTCTCAGTGAGGGATCCTTTCTCGTCGTGGAGGGCGGCTAGGTCTGCGTGAAGACGGCGGAGGACGGCACTGGCTTCGGGTTTCATGATCCATGTCTCGTTGTCGTCGGCGTAGGCTTCCCGGACTGAGGTAGGGCGCTTCTTCTTCGTGGCGGCAGCGGCTGCGGAGGCTCCCTTGGGGAGAACGGCCGCTTCGTCCTCCGTGCCTTCGTTGCTGACGATTTCCTGGGCGAGGGCCATCATCTGCCCCGCCTCGCTCGCCTCTATCTCATGCTGGTGTACGATGCCCTCCTCGTCGATGGCGTCCTTGATGCGGCGTGCAAGGCTCAGGGGCCCCTTGAGGTTCAGGCGGGACGTCATGTGCGCGAGGCATTTGGACTCGTCGGCCGCTTCCGCCAACAGCTGATGAATGCTGTCTGTGGCATGGATCGTGTTCGCCAGGGCCACCAGGTCGTCCGGGTCTCCTCTGCCGAGAGCGAACTTCTGCACCAGACGCTGGGAGTCGTGGCTGCGGCGGAGCAGGAGGACCACGGCGTCGCGCAGGTCCGGTTCCTCGATAAAGCGGGCGACCAGGTCTTGTCTGAGCTTGATGGTGTCGAGCGACGTGGACGGCGCGCTGAGCCAGTCGTTGAGGAGCCGGGCACCGCTCTTGGTGGCCGTCTGTCTGATGGCGTGGAGCAGGCTGCCGCGAAAGTTGCCGTCCCGGATCGTCTGCTTGATCTCGAGCGAGCGGACGCTATTCTTGTCGATGCTCATGATTTGCCTGTTCTCGTGCCGCGTCGGCGGCTGCAGCCTCATGCTCAGCCCTAGCAGCCGTTCCTTGACGTAATTCAGCAGGAGGCTGCCGGCTGTTACCTCACGCTCGGTAAAGGCATCACGCGTCGCCTGAGGAATTTCGCTTTCGAGCATAAAGGTCCAATCAGAAAGACGCCTGATCTCGCCGAGGGGACTGTAAGTGACCAGATGGCGGTCCTCGGCGAGGATGGGTAGAAGGCCATGGTCGGTCTGGGCCTGGATCTCGCTGTCGAGCACGACTTCTTTGGGGCATATCCTCGACAAGATCGAAGATAGAGCCGACAGATCGGTGGCCTGCGTGTAGAACTGACCGGTGGACAGGTCTAGCCAGGCGAGGCCCAGGAGTAGCGGTGGTGGTGCGGCAGAGTCACCAGTTGCCGGAGTCACGCTCCGGTCAGCGGCTGAATGGGACGAGTCTGGGGCTCCTGTCTCGTCTACCCCTCCCCCAGACTGGGCCGTCGTCGCATGGATAGCCAGCACGTAGTTATTGGCGTAAGGATCCATGAAGTTCTCATCAATCAAGGTTCCTGGCGTGATGACACGAGCAACTCTTCGATCATGCAACAGGCCACCAGATTTGACCTTCTCGGATGCATTATTGGGAAACTCCTCAGCAATGGCGACATAGCGATTCAGGTCCTGGACCAGCATCTTGAGGAAACGATCCAGCTGGAAGAAGGGAAAGCCGGCCTAGTAATCATCACATCAGACCCAATGAACACGAGACTAACAGCACACGTATTTCCTGGTACACAAGAGAACTAATTTACCATGGAAACCGGACCGGCACTCGTCTTTTTCTGAGCAACCTTGAGGTTCAGGAGGGGGCCGAACTCCTCGGCGTGCTCAAAGTACAGCTCATAGAAACCGCCGACTCGCGTCAAGAGCACGCAGTTGTCGAACTTTTGCATGTTGCGGCGCGCTTGCAGCACGACTGTTGGATAGGTCGGGTCCTCATCTTGCACGGGACGGGGATCCAGCGGCAAAACGCCCTGGGGTAGATCGTCCAGCTTCACCTTGGACTTTGTCTTCTTACCCCTGGCAAAGATGGATAAGTGCCAGCTCCTTCCGTCCGGCAATCCAGAAACCCCAACTTCTCGGCCGAAGTTGGAGCCGTGAATCACTCCATTGAAGCGGCGCAGGCGGAGGTGATGTGCGGAGACAGAGCAAGATCGGGCAGTAGTCAGTAACGGGGTAACCAGATCATGACAGGCCAGTGTGGTGAGTGGTCGGGGTAACATGTGAGCATATCATGAATGTGAGCTGTTCGGGGGCGACGTCGATCCAAGTTTTTTTTTGTCCTGGTCTTGTTGGTTGGTTGGTTTAGTCAGTGTCCATGCGCAAGGGAGCTTGGGAATAAGGTATGGTGCTGTGACGGCAAACGGAGGTTACAGTGGAATGATGAGATAATGATTCGGGTAAAAGATTGATAGAAACCGGGGTTGGAATGGGCTGAATAGAAATCATGCGAGCGGCGGCGCGGACGTGAATTATCGCGAGATTTTTCGGGACGGTAGCTTGAATCCGCCCGAATCAATTGGCTCCCATTGGGAGGATTCTTTGCAGATGGGATGGGACTGGCAGGCCGCTGTGAACTGTTCTGTGGGGCAAGTCCTGTGGTCCAGGTGTCCGGGTTTGGTTCGCATCGCCCTTATTAGGTAGCATGGCATGGGACGGACCGGGGTAGAAATGGCATGACATGTTCCTGAAGGCTATCGGCGATAAAAAAAAGTTAAACGAGGCCCTCTGTATCGTCGGAGATGTGACGGAGGGGACGGGACCTGCTTAACACAATATGTAGTAGGTTCACCGACCATAGGCGGGAGGCAATCGGACAGCGGGCAACAACAAATGCCTGCCTTACTACATAGCTCGTTAGGTTGGCACCTGCGTAAATCCAGTATTCTAGTCTCTTGTAGTGGCAACGTAAGCATCGCGGAAGCTTCGCCAGCCGGAGGCAGGGCCGAACAAGAATGGAGTCGTCAAGCGGAGAAGAAACGGGGTTAATGGAGAAGGTGACGATGTCGGAATTAGGGGTCCTGTACCCGCAGGAGTCAGGTCCTGTTTGGCCCTCCAGGCTCCGAGGCAGATAAGGTCGGTTCTGTAAGCAAGATTCGCGGCGAAAGGGAGGGATGCGTCTAGATCGCGAGTTGCTTTGAGCACGAAAAAGCCAAGAAGGGAGAGCATTAATGACGATCATGGACTGCGTTTGCTGTAGGCTATCGTGTTTGGGTAAGCACGCTGGCGCGTTGGTTCCTTTTTTTTTTTTTTTTTTTTTTTTTTTTTTTTTACGGGTACCTGCTTGGTGTGCATCATCGTCTTACGAGACTCTGTTTCGTCTAGCGTCATTCTGTTGGACAGGTCGTACGTAGCAGGAACAAACGTGGAGGCCCGTTGGAGTCGAAGGAGCCACAATTACAACGACAGTTTGACAAAGACAGGGAGACTCAATGGATCATGGTATGTGGGTGACAGTGCGCTCCTGGCCAGAAGAACTGTATTTCTTTCCACTAGGTACTCTCGTCTGCAGGGTGAAGACGTAAGGTCTGACTCCTGAGGTAGCCTTGGAGGGCAGGTTCGGGTAGTTTTGGGCCATGTTTGCTTCGAGTTGCGGAATGACCCGGCAGC